TTGAACTGCCAGCCTTCTGGTTAGCAGTCAAATGCCTTAGGCACTACACCACTAGAGCTCCTATGACATTGACTGCAATCCCCATAATGTAACAGCTTTCTTCCCACTTCCTCCCTGTAGCTCCTTCTTCCCTGTGTCCTTCTTTCCTATGAATTCCTGCTCCCTGAGCTATCTTCCTGTGCAAATACTGCCCTTCTGTTCTTCTATTATTGATTGTTCTAAGGAGTGTACCTACATGGTATAAATATTCACTTTATATGCCTTTCTAGGGAGTTCTGGTGGTACAGTGCCTAAGGCATTTGACTGCTAACCAGAATATTAGCAGTTCAAATCCACTAGCCACTCCAAGGAAGGAAGTTGGGGCTATCTACTTCTATAAAAATTTACCTCCTCGGAAACCCAATGGGGGGCACTATGACTCGATGATAGTGAGTTTTGTTTTTTGGTGTATTATATGTCTGTCTATTGTTTGGCTGGAAGCCATGGGAATGAGTTCAATTCCAGACCTGAAGGGTAACTAGGGGCCATAGTCTTGGGGGTTTCACCAGTCTCTATCAGACTAGTAAACTTAGTCTTTTTTTATGATTTTGAGTTTTGTTCCACATTGGTCTCCCATTTTATGCAAGAACCCCTACATTTATCCCTTTCTGAGTGTTTGACAGAGGTGTGTGTGTGTGTGTGTGTGTGTGTATACCTAAGAGCACTGGTAGTGTAGTGTCTAAGGCACTTGACTGCTAACCAGCAGGCTGGTGGTTCAACCCACAAACCACTCATCTGAAGGAAGGTTGGGCAATCTACTTCTGTAGTGATACTGCCTTGGAAACCCAAGGAGGGGTCGCTAGGAGTCGGGTCTGACTTGATGGCACATAACAACAACAACAACATATATGCCTAGTAACAGGATTACTGGATCAAATGGTATTTCCAACTTTTTAAGGAATCACCATACTGATTTCCAGAGGTTGTATCATTTTACAGTCCCATCAGCAGTGTATAAGAGTCCCAATCTCTCCACATCCTTGCCAGCATTTGCTATTTACTGTGTTGTTGAACTTTGCTATTAGTGCTGGGGTGAGATGGTGTCTCATGGTTGTTTTGATTTGCATCTCTCTAATGGCTACAACTCGATGGCACATAACAACAACAATGGCTAATGATTGGGAACATTTTTTAATGTGTTTATTGGCCGCCTGAATATTTTCTTTGGTGAAGTGTCTGTTCATGTCTTCTGCCCATTTTTTAATTGGATTGTAGCATTTAGGATTTTCACAAACCTAATGTTTATCTAAATTTAGGTTATTTTATTGTTGTTGTTAATTGCCATCAAGTTGATTCTGACTAATGGTGACCCCGAATGTCCTGAGTGTAACTGGTCCATAGGGTTTTCAAAGCTGTGACCTTCTGGAAGCAGACAGCCAGGCCAGTGTTCTGAGGAGCCTTTTGCTGGGTTGGACTGTAATAGGGGTAAAGAGACCCTAGATTCAAAGTTTCAATAGGGAAAAAAAAAAAAAAAAAAA